TTAGGTGGAGTATTAGGTGGAGTATTAGGTGGAGTATTAGATGGAGTATTAGGTGGAGTATTAGGTGAGATATTTGGGTGGAATATCAGGTGGAGTATTAGGTGGAGTATTGGGTGAGATATTAGATGAAGTATTAAATGGAGTATTAGGTGGAATATGAGGTAGATATTAGGTGGAGTATTAGGTGGAGTATTAGGTGGAGTATTAGGTGGAGTATTAGGTGGATATTAGGTGGAGTATTGGGTGAGATATTAGGTGGAGTATTAGGTGGAATACATGGTGGAATATTAGGTGGAGCATTAGGTGAAGTATTGCATGCTGAAATACATCGTGTATTATATGTGCAACGATAAAGTACACGTGGATTACATTACGTAATACAAGGTGGAAATAGAGGTAGTCAGTCTTCGTAGGAATGAATAAAAGATGAGGGCACGAATACTAAGATCGGTTGTGGTTGCCAGGGGAATAAGAGAATGTCTGTCCATGATCCAACTATAAGTAAAAATGACTCATTTACAGAATTGGCAAATGAGCATCTATCAATCACGTGCTGGAGCAAATAGGCTGATGTGTACTACAGAAACATCAAACTAGAAATAACGGATGGCTGGATAGTGAAAGTATCGGTTCCTAGATCGTCAAGTATCGGTTCCTAGATTGTCAAGGTAACGGTTCCTAGATCGTGAAGGCAACGGTTCCTAGATCGTGAAGGCAACGGTTCCTAGATTGTAGGTGTTCTCTGGCGAAATGTTGGATTGTCGAGTTTTAATCAGTTAGCCACGACTGCATCGATTCCCCGCTCCCCGGGCATCTACTTGAGGATTCTGATCATGAATTATCGATTCAAACACCCAGAGCACATGTTTGGGAAGCGCTATGCGAAGAGAAGCGTGATACTGTATGTCTCTGGATGTCACAGCCCATGGACCCCACACCGTTCATACCAGCCCGAATTCTGGGTTTTTCTTGTGAATGCAAGAAAGTATGGGTGAGTTTGAAAACACTCAGATCCCCAGTGGCTGTGCTGAGACGCACTTGTCTATAGCTAGACAAGAGGCCAACACTCGATATCACTATTCCATGCAGACTAAAGCCTTCTACAGACTAAGTCAATCATTCTGCGTGTATACTCAATTGATAGAAAGGCACCGTGCATGGGGCAGAGCAGTGTTGAGAAGTTACTCACCAGCATGCCTGAAATCCATATAGACTGAAGGAGAAATAAGGGAAGGTACACAGGCCTTGTGGCCCAACACCACAGACAGGGCACAAGGCATGCATCTTCCGGTCCCAACAGTCCAGTCAGGGCCCCAGAACCCCAGCCATCACCAGCTATAAATGACTCCAGAAATCACCACGGAACTACGCCTGTCCATCACTTGCCTGGCACGTACATGGGCCTGTATTCACAATCCTGCCGCCGCATAAAATACATTCTGGGTATCATGCAATCTGCGTATTCTCGGATTGTAGCTATGGACAAAAGACCGGCACCAAACAATGCAATTGCCATGAGGCTACCTGTTTTTCTTCTTCTTATTTTTCTTCTCTTTTCTTCTCTTTATTTCTTTTTTTTTATCTCCTCTGTTTTCCTTCTTCTTTCCTTCTTCTTTCCTTCTTCTTTCCTTCTTCTTTCCTTCTTCTTTCCTTCTTCTTCATGCCATCGGGCCCACGAAGCTTCGCCCAGTATCACAATAACCATGTCTCCAGCTGTACTACAGACCCGGAACCCTTCAATTCACCTGCGTCAACGCAGGTCTCCCCCCAAGAACAGCCTCGATGTTTTCCATGGCCACCACCGCAGTGTGGTCGAAGTTCTCGGTGGTCGAGGCACCCACGTGGGGAGTCAAGAACACATCTTGTCTGCCATAGAGCTCCGGGTGCACGGAGGGCTCGTTTTCATACACGTCCAACCCCGCAAATACAACCTTGCCCGATTTCAACGAGTCGACGAGCGCCTGCTCGTCAATCACCGACCCCCTTCCTATATTGATGACGCGGATGGGCTTGGCGAAACTTCCAAGAACGGCGCTGTTCAAGAGATGGTGCGTTTCCGGAGTGGCGGGACACGCGATCACCACCAAATCTGCAAACAGACACGTGGCGCCTATGGACCGGTGGTAGGTGGCCACGAAGCCGAGGCTGCGTTCCTCTGCCCCGCTGAGCTGGCGTCTCTTGACATAGTGGATGTTCATGCCGATCAGACTCAACTTCCGCCCGATGGTCTGGCCGATATTTCCAAACCCCACGATGACCGCATTGTGGCCTTTGGGACTGAGGCACGGGCGCCCGCCAATGTACTCTCCAAAAGAGTAGCCCTGGGGCAGCCCGCCAACAAGGGCCCCCGTTTGAAAGTCGAATTTGCAGGACTCCAACTCGGCCCGCACGGCCACCGTGTGGTCGTTTTCCGGACGCAAAAACGCCAGCGACATGTTGAAGTTCCGGAACGCAGTCAATGCATTGTAGAGCACCAAGTCTGCCACCGGTTCCGCGGCGCCGTCCGAGGGCACGTTTGTCAACACAACGCCCTTTTCTTTCATCTGCGCCCCGTTGTAGTTGTCGTGGCCCACGGAGCAGATGGAGACCACTTTCAAGGTTGGTGGGAGTGCCTCGATAATGTCGCTGTGGAATCCGCCCACAAGCACGAAGCCAAGCCAGGCGCCGTAGATGGCCGAAATGTCGTGGAACTTGGTGTGGAAGTCGGCAATGACTTCCTCACGCGTCGAGGCGAGCGTATGGTGGATGCACTCGAACTTCTCCAGAAACCGTTTGTAGTGGGGCAAGCTGGTGTTCAAGTCGCCGAGAATAAGCACCTTGGGCCGGGTCATTTTCGGGTTTTGGTGTTTTTGGTTTCCGTTAGTTGTGGGTTTCAGGCCGTTTCAGTGGCTTAAAAAGGAAGTGCGTTCCAGCGGATATTAGACTACGCTATTTGCTGTAAAGAAGCTGTGTTCTGGGACTAGATCACCTTTGTTAACGACACCTAGATAAGGTATTTTTCAAACGCCGGCTCCGCGGATGCAGGCCGTGCGACATTCGCCGGTACTATCCTGCGTCCAATGTGTTTGTATTTCTGCTTGAGTACAGGATATTCCAACTCAATGTCCTGTCCACAAGTGGTTCCCAACTGGTACAGTTGAGATATCGGATTCGACATGATGTACTAGCGTGTGGAAATAAACCTTTATTTAGGAAAAACTAAAACCACTCTTGTGTCAACTGACCTTCTAAAAAGATCTCTAGAGGGAATTCTCTTCCCTTCATATACTCGTCGTGCTATTTGGTTCCGGGTAAGTGGTGCGAACTTTAATGTCTCATTTGTCACATGATTAATTAGGGCTAAGCGTCTAGTTCTCACACAAT